AAAAAGATCTGAATAGAGATAAGAGTTGTTGCCCAAGCAACATGGTTTGTGGTTCTTGTCCAACTAAGATAACTAATTAGATGATAAAAGAAAACAAATAATCATCAGTGAAAAGTTACAGAATCCAGAGTCTCCACAACTTAATATTTATAATGTCTGGGATATAATCCAAAATTATATGATCTGATTTCCAGGAAAATGGAATCCATTTCAATAACATGCTTATACTTGATATTGTACCAGTAAAGATTGAAAATCTCAGGAATGAATTAGAAGCCATAAAAAGTAATTCTAGAACTGAAAAATACAATATTTGAAACTAAAAGTCTTGGTTGGAATTGACAGCAGAATGCCAATGAAGAGGAAAACTTAATTGAACTTTAATTAGATCGACAGAGATTATTTTCCAATTAGAAAATGACTGAGACAAAGATTGAGAAATTTTTAAAAATTAACAGTGTCTCAGGGATTTGTTAGATAATATCAGACAGTCTAACATACATGTAGTTAGAGTCCTAGAAATAGAAGAGGCAAAATATTTTTTTAAATTTATTTATTTATTTTGAGAGAGAGAGTAAGAGAATGTGAGTGGGGGTAGGGCAGAGAGAAGGAGAGAGAGAATCCTAAGCAGGCTCTCTACTGTCCGTGTAGAGTCCGACACATGGGGCTCAAACTCACAAACCATGATTTCATGACCCGAGCCAAAATCAAGGGTCAGACACTTAACCGACTGAGCCACCCAGGTGCCCCGAGGCAAAACATTTTTTAAGAAATAATGGTCGGGCTTGGGATTCTCTGCCTCTCTCCCTTTGTCCTTCTCCCCTGTTCACACTCTCTCTAAAATTGAAAGACAGAAAGAGAGAGAATGGCCAATTTTTCAAAATCTGGTGAAAGATACAAATAATATCCAAAAATCCCAAGCAGGATAACACTAAGAAGAACAAATGAGGCACATTAGTCAAACTGTCGAAAACCGAGTATAAAGAAAAGTCCTGACAGAAGAAAGAGAAGAAAATGACATATTAAATGCATGGGAACACAATTCAGTTCAGGGCTGACTTCTCTCAAGAAACTATGGAGGCCAGAAGAAAATGGAACAATAGAATAACAACTGTTGATCTAGAATTCTGTATTCAGTGCAAAAGGTCCTTCAGGATGATGACAAAATACCAACACTTTCAGATAAAGGAAAACGACAAGATTTTATCATTTATCATTTATAAGAGGAACCAAAGGAAGTTCTTTCAGTTAAAAAAAGAATGATAATAGATGGAAACAGAGTTCCTCAGAAAGGGATAAGGAAATGGTAAATATCTGGGAAGATGAAAAATATTTTCTGTTGTTGTCATCATAACTTAAAAAAACCATATGACTGTTTAAATCACAACTTATAACATTTCTTACAGGATTTATATTATATGTAGATGGAATATATGTAACAACTATAGCTTAAAGGACAGGAATGTGTGTGGGTTATTGTGATGATAAAAACCAACTATATTTAGTTGCCGCCTGGGCATTTTACATTATGACACCCAGAGAGTGGGCATTTAGATAAGGACTTGAGCTTAGGATTCTGTCACAGTTTCCCCCTGTGCTTTCTCCAGGGCACGTTTTTAAAATAACCACTTAGAGTTAACACCACAAAAAGTTAGTGACCTCCACCCCAATCACCTTATAAGTAATAGGTGCTTGCTACCCTGTTTTTTATCTCCTATTGGCTCATGACCTGGTAATGGAAGACTGCCCTTTCTCTGGCCTCATTGCTCTCCCCTCACCCTCCATTTCCTCCTGTTTCTAGGATCTCTATGTGACTTGTGACTTAATTCCTTTGTGTGGCTATATTAAAACTACTTCAGGGCACCTCGGTGGCTCAGTTGGTTAAGCGTCCAACTTCGGCTCAGGTCATGATCTCACAGTTTGTGGGTTTGAGCCCTGCGTCGGACTCTGTGCTGACAATTAGCTCAGAGCCTGGAGCCTGCTTCGGATTCTATATCTCCCTCTCTCTCTGACCCTCCCCTGCTCAAGCTGTCTCTATCTCTCTCTCAAAAACAAATAAAAAAATATTAAAAAAAAAACTACCTTCAATCAGAATAACTGTGAAGTTTTCACTTCCCCAAAGCAAGAGTTCATATTGCTGAGGAGCTACCTGTCAATTCAATGTGGGTGATTTATTCCTCCTTACTCAGGACATCATAATTTGCACATTCCTAATTTAACACACCAGCTCCTGCTCCTCAACACAGTTATGTACCTGTTTAGTAGAGTGGTACAGTATTAAATATAAGTGGAATAAAAAATTAAGGGTGTGTTTTGTAAAACTTAGATAAACCACTAAAAATAATGTAAAGAATTATACATAAAAAATCAAAATACATTTTTAAATGAAATTCCTGAGAAAAATAAAATAATTAAACAAAAGGCCAAGTAAGGAAGAGTGAATGATCAAAAAAGGGGGACAGAGAGGAAAGGAAAACCAATAATAAATTGGTAGACCTAAATTCAGTCTTATCAATAATAACATTAAACATTAAAGGACTAAAGTAAATATGAGGCAGAGTCAGCGGTTGTTACGGTAGATTGAAAAACAGACCCAATTACATGTTTATAAAAGACGCATTTAAAATATAAAAACACATGGTATGCCTGGGTGTCTTAGTCAGCTGAGCTTCTGACTTCAGCTCAGGTCATGATCTCACGGTTCGTGGGTTTGAGCCCTGCGTCAGGCTCTGTGCTGACAGCTCAAAGCCTGAAGCCTGCTTCCGATTCTGTGTCTTCCTCTCTCTCTGACCCTCCCCTGCTCACACTGCCTGTCTCTCCCTCTCTTTCAGAAATACATAAAACATTAAAAAATTTTAAATATAAAGACACAACTAAGGTGAAATAAAATGGATCCAAAGAAATATGTCATGCAGACAGTAAGCTTAAGAAGACTGAAGTAGATTTATTAATATCTTATAAAATAGATTTCAACACCAGAAAGTATTTGCAGACATTTCGTAATAATTAAAAAATACCAGGAGGCTGTAACCATCATAAATCATAAATAAATTATAAAACAATTGTAAATGTATGCCTGTTAACAGAACTTGAAAATAAATGCAGCCAAGCTGGACAGAACTAAAAGGACTAATAAAAAATTCCACAATCATAGATGGAGACATTAACACCTCTCTCAGCAATTGATGAAACAACTAGATTAGAAAATCAACAAAATCATTAATTTGAGCAATATTATGAACAACTTCAACATTAGGAACTGTTTCTAACAACTGCACATATACATTCTTTTCAAGTAGACATAGTACATTCACCACCATAGCCCATACATTTATTATCTATCTATTTCTGCATGACTCTGATTACCATAAACTTAGCAGCTTAAAAAAATGCACACATTATCTCATAGTTTCTGTGGGTCAGATCCTTGCATGTTTTAGCTATGTTGTCTGCTACAGGGTCTCCCAGAGCTGCTGCAATCAAGGGATTGGCCAGGGGTATGACATCATCTGAGGCTTATTTGGGAAGGGTTCACATTCAAACTCATGGGATTATTAATAGCATATAGTTCCTTACAGGCTGCTAGAATGAGGGTTTCAGTTTTGCTGGCTGTCAGCCGGAGGACACCCTAAGTTCTTTGCTGCATGACCTTCTTTGTATGGCACCTCACAAGTTAACATCTTGCTTTTTCAAAGCTAGCAAAGGAGGAATCTCCAAGCATACATAGTCTTATGTAATACAATCACTTACATTTTGTCACTTTTGCCATAATGTATTGGTTAGGATACATAGGTTCTTCCCACATTTAGGAGGAGGATAACACAGAGGGCATGAACAGTAGGAGGTGGAGATAATAGGAGCCACCCTACAGTCTGTCAGCCCATAATATGTTGGGCCATAAAACAATAAACAACTGCAAAATTCACATTCTTTTCAAGTGTGCATGGTACATTCACCAACATAGACCATGTTAGGACAAGTCTTAAGAATTTTGAAAACATTGAAATTATATATAGGAAGTTCTCTGCGAACAATGGAATTAAGTTATAAATGAGTAACATTATGATATTTAGAAAAACCCCAAATAGTTGGAAATAAAGCAGTACTCTTCTAAATAATATGGGTCAAAGAAGGAATCAAAAAAGAAATTAGGAAACATTTTCAACAGAATGAAAATGAAAATACAGTGACATTAAAATTTTTGGGATGCAGATAAAGTAATATTTAGAGGAAAATGTACAGTTTGGAAATGCCTAACAGAAAAGGAGAAAAATCTAAATGAATGATTTGAGCTCTGATCTTAAGGAATTAGAAAAAGGAGAGCAAATTAATTCCAAAGTAAGCAGAAGGAAGAAAAATAATAAAGATAACAACAGAAATTAATGAAGTAGAACATGCATAATGATAAAACAAAAAAAATCATTGGGGCCAGGACGCTTGGGTGGCTCAGTCAATTAAGTGGCTGACTTCGGTTCAGGTCATGATCTCACAGTTCACTCTGTCTCTCTTTGTCTCTCAAAACTGAATAAACGTTAAAAGAAATTTTTTTAAAATCATTTAAGTCAAAAGCTTATTTTTTGAAGGGAGCAATAAAAATTTTAAACTTCTAGCTAAACTGATCAAGAACAAAAGGGAGAAGGCACAAATCCACAAATTAGCATAATGGGAATGAAAGCAGAGGCATTGCTCTAGAGCCTATGGAATTGAAAAAGACAAAAAGGAAACACTGGGTACAACTTCATGCTAATAAAGAATTGTACACAACTTAGATGAAATAGACAAAATTCTTGACTGAAAGACACAAATTACCAAAATTAATCACAGAAGAAATAGAAAGGTTGAATAGCTCTATATTGAATGATATATAACAATATATGACCAGGTGGACATTTTCCTAGAAATGTAAGGATTTCTCAACATTAAAAAAAAAAACTATCAATATAGGATATAGTGGAAGTGCCTTCCCTTCCAGCCTTTTTGGTCTCAGCCACAGAAATAAGATGACAAAGGGGATGTCATTATTTGGAAAGCATCACAATAAGGTGCACATAGTGTGGCGCCTTTTTGGATCTAAGGCCTACCAACTTCAGAAATTGACCTGTGGCAAATGTGGCTGTCTTGCCAAGTGGAAGAGAAAGTATAACTGGAGTGCCAAGGCTAAAAGATGAAATACCACTGGGACTGGTTGAATGAGACACCTAAAAATTGTATACCGTAGATTTGAGCATGGATCCCACGAAGAAACAACACCTAAACTCAAGAGGACAGCTGTTGGAGCATCCAGTTAATCTTAAGGATTTTGACAATTAGTCACATAATAATAAATGATCTGGTTTTTAAAAAAAATGTATCAGGGGGCGCCTGGGTGGCACAGTCATTTAAGTGTCTGACTTCAGCTCAGGTCATGATCTCATGAGTTGGAGCCCCACATCAGGCTCTCTGCTGTCAGGACAGAGTTTGCTTTGGATCCTCTGTCTCCCTCTCTCTCTGCCTCTTTCACAAATAAGTAAACATTTAAAAAAAAATGTATCAATGAGATTCATCATATTAATATAGTACAGAAATAAAACATTATCACTTCAGTAGTATGGAAAGTACATTTGACAAATCCAATACCAGTTCATGGTAAAAGAAAAAAAATCTCAGGAAGCTAAAAAGATGTGTACGATTCATTTAACATCCAAAAATTAATCAAGGGATGTCTGGGAGACTCAGTTGATTTAGCTTCCGACTTTGGCTCATGTCATGATCTCATGGTTCATGAGTTCAAACCCCGCATTGGGCTCTGTGCTGACAGCTCAGAGCCTGGAGCCCGCTTCGGATTCTATGTCTCCCTCTCTCCCTGCCCCCTCCCCTGCTCACACTCTGTCTCTGTCTCTCTCTCTTTGTCTCTCAAAAATAAATCAACATTTAAAAAATCAAGATTTAAAAAATCAAGATTATATTAATAGAAAAGAGGAAAAACACATGAACATTTCAATGAAAGCAAAAAATCATTAGTACTCATTCATGATAGAAACTCCTAGCAATCTAGAGACAGATGGGAATGTTCTAAACCTGCTTAAGGTTGTTGTGAAAACAACAACAACAAAAACAACAAGAGCAACAGTAGCTAACTTCATACTCAATGGTAACAGTCTGAATGCTTTCTACCTAAATTCAGGAATAAGACAAAAGTTTTGTGCTCTTACAGTCAATTCAACACTATACTGGATATCCCAGCTGTGTAATATGGCAAGGATAAGAAATAAAAGTATTGTAGATTAAAAAGGAAGAAAACTGCCTTTATTCGCAGTCAACATGATCATGTACATGGAAAACTATAAAGAATCAACAGGAAAAGCCACTGGACCTAATAACGTACAAGGCCACAAGATACGAATTCAGTGTACGAAAATCGATTATATTTTTATACCTTATCAATGAACAATTGGAAAATAAATTTTTTTGTCCTTTTTATTTTTTTTAAATTTATTTTCGATATAGAGAGAGACAGAGCATGAGCAGGTGAGGAGCAGAGAGAGAGGGGGACACAGAATCTGAAGCAGGTTCCAGGCTCTGAGCTGTCAGTACAGAGCCTGATGCAGGACTCGAACTTACAAACTGCGGGGGGTCATGACCTGAGCCGAAGTCGGATGCTTAACCAACTGAGCCACCCAGACGTCCCGGAAAATAAATTTTAAAAATATCTATTTACAATAGCATAAAAAACTTTAGAAATAATTTTAACAAGATTTGTATAAACTTTACACTGAAAACTGTAAATCACTGGGATACCTTGGTGGCTCAGTCAGTTAAGTGTCTGACTTCCGCTCACTCATGATCTCACAGTTAATGAGTTTGAACCCCACATTGGGCTCTGTGCTCAGAGGATTCTGTGCCTCTCTCTGCACCTCCCCCACTTGCTCCTGTGCACGCTCTCTCTCTCAAAAATAAACATTAAAAAAAACCTTGTAAAATGTTGAGGGAAATCAAAGATCTAGGTCAATTATTAAATGTGCTATGTTCATGGATTGGAAGATTCGCTATTGTTAGAGTTTTCTCTGTCTTCAAATTGATTAGATTTGGCATAATCCCAGTCAAAATCTCAGCATGATCTTTTCTTTCTTTCTTTTTTTTTTTTTACATAGCCAGATTTTTTTAAGGTTTATTTATTTATTTTGAGAGAGAGAGGGAGAGAGAGAAAGGGAGAGATGGAGTGGGGAGGAGGTAGAGAGAGGAGGAGAGAGAGAGTCCCAGGCAGGCTCTGCCTGATGTGGGGCTTGAGCTCACGACCCTTTGAGATCATGACCTGAGCCGAAATCAAGAGTCAGACAGTTAACCAACTAAGCCACCCAGGTGCCCCCACAGCATGATCTTTTAAAGAAACTGGTAAACTGATTCTATTATTTTTGGAATGTCAAAGGACATAGAATAAACCAAAATTCATAAAAGAACAAAATTGGAGAAGTTATGCTACCTAATTTCAAGACTAACTGTATAGCTACAGTAATCAGAACAGAGTGGCATTGGCATAAGAATAAATATATTGTTCAATGGAATAGAAGAAAGAATATAGAAATGCACACACACATATACACACACACATATAAATATGGCTGTTTTTTGACAAAAAGTGTTAAGATAATTCAAAAGAAGGATAGTCTTTTCAATATATGGTACTAGAACAATGGGTTATCTGTATGGATCAAAATGAACCTTGTTCCTTATCACACATTATACAGAAAATAAGAGCTAAAATTATAAAACTTTTTCAAGGACACATAGGAGAAACTCTGTGCTCTACTGGAGTACACAAAGATTTCTTGAATGAGACTCAAAAGTATGAACTACAAAGGAAAGAAAGTGTTGAAATGGACTTGATCAGAATTAAAAACTCTTGTTGTTTGAAAGATACAGTTAAGAAATAGAAAAGGCTGGGGCACCTGGGTGGCTCAGTGGGTTGAGTGGGCCACTTGGGCTTAGGTCATGATCTCATGGTTCAATGACTTGAGCCCCATGTCAGCCTCTGCTGACAGCTCAGAGCCTGGAGCTTGCTTCAGATTCTGTGTCTCCCTCATTCATGCTATGTCTCTCAAAAAAAAAAAAAAAAAAAGTTTTAAAAAAATTTTTAAAAGAGAAAAGGAAGAGGCAAGCCACAGATTGGGAGAAAATATTTTCAAAACATGTATCTGATAGAAGCCTTTAATTCACAGTACATAAAGACTTTTTACATTTAAAAGTTATATGATAGAATAACCAATTAAAAATTGGGCAGAGCTCTTCTTAGACCTTTTAGTTATGAGTAGGAGTAATAAGAAGTTGTTCTTATGATGTTGGGAATAATAGTTCTGCTGTATTGGTATAATTTATTTGGATGTCTTTAATTTTGATACTACTACCAGTATAAATCTATTTTTGCTCCCAGATGGTAGCTATTTTCATGTGTTCAAGTTCCTTCTGTATTGTATTAATCTGCTACTCAGTGTTAGTCTTTATTTTTCCATGTTGGAAATATGTATCACATAAGTATCTGTAAATCATGACAAAATGCAAACCATGTCCTGAGACTTTGGTTTTTGGTTATGCAGTGACAAGAAGTTGCTAATTTATTTTGTTCATGATGATTTTATCTTACTCCATTACCCTCAGAGGATACTATTTTCTTTAAAAGATATCTGTAAATCTTCTATCTAGCTGTGTATAAGATTATTTTTTGTTTAAATCCCACCCTTCCATCCATACCCCATTCTCTCAAAAAAAAACCCTCCTAATTGGTTTGTCCCCTTCATGTAGCTAGTTGACTGTGAATAAATAACATGGAAAAAGGCAAAACAGAAACAAAAACAAAAAACCTCTTTAACAGCCAGGTGGCAGGATCTAGCTAGGTGGTGAGATTGAGGATATATACTTATGTTTACATTTATGTTTAACATTTATATTCGACAATACATAGTTGTTAAAACCATGGATGAGATTGTAAAGGAAAAAGGTAGAGAGAACAAAGGGCCAAGGGCAATACTTAAAGGAATTTCAGTATTTAACTGGCAGGTAGTATAGGAGAGGAACATAAGAAAGAGACCAGGAGGGAACAGTTAGGACAGTATAAGGACAATCAGAAGGGAGTTGTGTCATGAAAGCAAATGAGGTTAGTTTCAAAGAGAAAGTAATCAGTAGTATTAAATATAGAGAGGACCAGAACATAAGTGCTTGGAAAGTGTTGATTGTTTTAGCAAAATTGGTGATTTTAGAGAGCATTTTAAGAGGGATGGGTCAGAAAGAAAGAGCTAGAAACCAGAGTCTAAGACTTTGAAGAGCAGTGAGGGTTGAGGAAATGAAAAAAGCGAGGTGGTTGGCTATAGTGGCTAAGAACATGGCCTCTGAAGCCAGGTGCTTGAGTGTCAGTTCTTACTCTTGCTTTTAGTAGCTGTATGATCTGCTGTGATTTGACTTATCTCTCTGTCCAAAATAAAGACAATAACCATACCTACCTCAGAGGCACTTATAAGGATTCTAAGAGTTAATGCATGTAAACTGCTTAGAATGGTACCTGGCACAGAGTAATTGCTATATAAATATTAGTCATTATTATTATTACAGATTATTTTCCTGGAAAGTTTGAGATGGGAAGAAAGACAATCTAGACCACTTTGCTAGAGGAAGGAGGAAGAGTTAAGAAGGGAAGGTGGTTTAAAAACATATGTATGTGACTAGAAAAACATAGGTCAAAAGAAAAGCAGAAGATATAAAAGGGAGAAATGAAAATAGATGATAGAAGTTTCCAGAGCAAGCGGTTGGAACATGTATAAAGAGAATGTGGCCTCAAACAGGGTACAACACCTGAATCACTGAGGTTGGGGTACGAATGGGTTCTGATAAATACCAGGGTTTTGGGAGTGGTCTGATGGCGTTGATTATTGTCAATTAAAGAGGTAAGGTTGTATGAGGAAACAGGACGGGAAGTTGGTGGTGGAGAATCATAAGGACTTGAGATCCCCAAAGGAAATGGGAGAAATTTGACCATGGACAGGTAAAGTGTCTACAGTCTTTTGTTTTGCAAACTTATATATCACAAGATATTGCTTTTCCATGTCTCCTTGTAGAAGGGGTTACATGACACATAATTATTTTGAACTGAAAGCACTTTGTCTTATTTAGTAAAAACAGTTTACACCTGTGAGGTAACTTGAACCAACGTGGGATCTTGTAAAACTAGTCTTGAGAATCATTAAATTAATCATCTGAATCCCAAAGAAGAAAGAATGTGTTAAAAATTGAACAAAATTTCTAAAATTGAAAAAGGTTGGAAATCACTAAATTTGATTAAAAGGTTTATAATTCTTTGTCTATTTCACTAA